GAGGAGCCGGCCGAACGGCCGCGCGTGACGCCGCGGCCCCGGGAAGAAGCCGCTCGCGAGGCGGGCAAAGGGCGCTCCCCGCAATGAAGAACGGAAGCGACAAAAAAAAAAGGAAGTGAACGAGCGCCGGCAGTCGCCGTTTCCGCGAGGGCAGGGGGCGCTGCCGTCGGGAAAGCGCAATCCGTTCCCGCGGCGACGGTGGCCGCGCGGGCTCGCCGGGTGCCGGTTTTCGGTTTCCAAAATGCGGTTTCCGGAGCCGCAGCAGGCGCGCGGCCCCTCCCGCCGCCGCGCGTCTCGCCGGACGACGCCGCAACGACCCGCCTGCACTGCGAGCGCTGCGGGGGATGGCAATGATGCCCCGCCGCGCGGCGGGGCACCAGGCCACGAGCGCCCCCTCTGCCGCGCCCTCGTCATCGGGGACCGGGGCTCCTTTTCGCAACCCATTCGGTGGGGACGGGCGTGCACGACGACGGCGCCCGGCGCGCGGGACAGCGACTTAGTCTGGGACTGCACTGGGGAGAAGGAATTAGCTGCATGGAGGGGGCGAGCGCGACGGAGGCAAACCCGCCGGCGAGAGACGCGGACGGTACGAGGGAGTTGTGCGCTGCCATTTGGCGACGTGGAGCCGCATGGAAGTTAAGCTCATGGGCAGTGCCTGCTCTCCTTGGAATTGGCTTCTGCGGGTGGGGGGGCATGGGCGTTTGCGCCGCTGTGTCCTTCCCCCAGAGTTCCGTTCGCCTACAGGCTTTCTCTTTGCTGCGTACGTCGCTTCCCTGTGCGCTGGGCGCGTTGACGGCCTCGCGCGTAGCCGTACGCCTCCCACTGGCGCTCACTGCTTCTCTGCTTCCTGGGCACCGCGTCTTTTCCCCCACTCTCTTCCGAAGCAAGCTACAGGCTACACAACAAGACCCTCCCAAGGCGGCGAGCATGGCGGTGTGGCGGGTAACGACGTGGCTGAATGGACGGCGTGCTCGCGTGGCAGCGGCGTGTTGGGGGCGGCGGAGCTGCAGCGCGCGTTTGGGCTCGCGGTTCTGCGCGGCGGCGCCACACTTCGTTGTTGTTCTGTTGCTCCTGCTCCTGCTCACCCCGCACAGCGCAGCCAGCCAAGCAGCACCGCGGCAGGTCAGCGCGAAGGTGTTGATGTTGAAACTAACTAACCTCCCAATGCCTCAGAAGTTTCTGGATGCAGTTGAACTTGGGCTGATGGGGGCGCTCTGGTCGCGCAACTTCACTGCTGCAGATGGCGTTAATATAGAGGTCATCAGTAAAGCCACCACAACGCAGGGGAGTGGGGCAGCCGTCGAAGAAGCGGTGAAAACAGCCAAAGACCTCCTTCTTCTTGCCGGTGTCATCGGCGATACAACCTTCCTGCATACGCTGCCTGCAGTTATGCGCAACAGCCTCGTCTCTTTTGCCCCGTTTACTGGGTCGAGTGTGGTGCGTGAGTGGAACCCCAACGTGTACTTTGTGCGCGCTGACCCTGCGGCCGAGCTGCTGGCACTTCTCCGCTACGCCGTGGCTGAGCTGCGGGTGCTTCGGCTGGGCTTCATGTACCTGCAGGGTGTCTCCTTTGGCGATCGCGAGTATGAGCAGGCACAACATGTGATGTCGCGGATGGGCTACGCGCTGAGCGGCGTCTTCACCGTGAAGAGCTCTGTGCTAGGTGGCGCCGACGACAAGGAGTTCGACGATGCGTGGGAGCGGTTTGTCGCCACTCGGCCACAGGCGGTGATTGTGTTCGGCTCGCCTTATCAGGACACCAAGAAATTCATGAAGAGGATGCTGAAGGACGAGCGCACCGCCGGCGCGTACTTGCTTGCTCCTTCTGCGGTGCAGGACGCCGTTTTGGGAGCTTGGCGTGCTGCCGTGGATAATGGTGGTCTCAAGTTTGTGCCCGGGCAGGTGATCGCGACAGCGACGAACCCGCTGGCGAAGGACACAAGGTACAACGCGATCCGGCGCTTCCAGGAGGTGATGAAGAAATACCTGGCGAACAGGACGGACATAAAGTCTGGTGCAGGCCAGGGATTTCCCGACGAGAACAATGCAGGGGAATTGATGGTTGCTGCGTGGATTGCCGGCGAGGTGCTCGCACAGGCGCTGGGTAATCGCGAATGGGTGAAGGACCGTAACTCGTTCAAGGCGTCCCTCTTCAAGCAACGCCGGTATTTAATCGACGACCTTGTGATTGGCGACTACGGTGGGGATTGCAGTGCAGTTGCGGTTTCACAGGGCGCCACCTGCCGCTGCAACCAGGGCGGCCACACCGTGTACATAAAGCGGTTCGTGGAGGGCTACCGTGCAGAGCTTCGGGCTGATGACACGTTCACAGCTGGGCAGCGCCGCTGCGGTGCCGCCGGTACACTGTTGTATGCACCCTTGGATGGAGTGCTTGCCGTCATGCAGGATAATGAATATGCTCAATTGGCTGTTAGCAGTGTGTTGGGTGGTGCAAAAGCCGCCATTGCTTCGCAGGGGCATGATGCGCCGGGTATGGTGACGTTACATGTGCTAAATACATCCATAGCTGGGGCACGTAATGCTCTAGAGGAAGAGCACAATGAGCGTCTGGTCCATTTTGTGGGTGGGGTTGTGACGGAGGCGATGCTGGACGTGGAGAGTGTGGCCTTCCTCGACCCGCTGCAGCTCGAGCCGCGGCTGAACAGGTTCCGCCGGCACGTGATCCACCTGTCGCCGACGCTGGAGCAGCAGTTCTTCGTGCTTGCGAAGTACCTCCGGGACGCGGGTATCCGCGCGGCGCACGCGGTGATCCGCGGCGAGGAGGCGGCGGCGGTGGCGGAGGTGCTGCGGCGGTCGCTGGTGACGTTTGGCGGGTCGCTGCGGTCCGCGACGTTGCTGGCCGGCAGCGACGTGCTGGCGGGGCACCTGCCGAAGGCGGGCGACGTGTTCGTGGCGGGCCTTGCGGCCGGCGACGTCGCTGCGGTGGCGCGGCACATGGCGTTGCACGACGGCGTGCGCGTGTTCGTCGCGTTCTCCGAGTTTGCGCTGCTGCACGCCGACTTCGTTGCCGCGTTCGGTGGCGGTGCGGGCGCTGACCGCGTTGTGTTTGCGACGAGCCTGCCGCACTGGGGCGACGCGAACCCGACGTCGGAGACCGCCCGGGAGTTCCTCGCCGCCGTGCCCAACCCCACGCAACGGACGCCGCTGGCGCTGATGGGCTTCGCCGCCACGCGGCTGTTGGGGGCTGTTCTCTCCCGCATGGGCAAGGTGGGCGCTAAGCAGCTGACTGACTTCTTCTACACGAACGTCGCCGTCACCGCGAATGACATGCAATACGGCCCCTTCGTTAACGGCACGGCGTGCACTGCGGCTGCGGCCGGCGGTGCTGGGTGCGGCAAGAACTACGGGGCGACGCGCATTTCTGTGTGGTCGCTTGCCCATGCGCTGGATCCAGCCGTGCCCGTGCTGCACCCCGCCGTGACCTCGACG